TAGTATCATAATATATTTTTTAAAATAATAATTATTCCTGGGTCAGTACTTGATACCAGACAATTCTTCTGGTGTCTCACTGTAAAATAGCTCATGGAATTGGGTGTCAGAAGTGCTGGATCTTGGCCTGAGTATTATTAAAAGTTGGAAATGTCAGGGACTCAGTGTAATAGTATTCTAACAAGAATTTCAGACATGAACTCTTAGCAGATGATTATCATTTGTTGAATACCTGCTGTGTATCAAACACTGAATGGATGCTTTACACAGGTTATTTGATTTATCTTACTGCCCCATTGGGGTGAATTTGCATCTAGGAATATTACTATTCTTTTTTCCTGCACCCTGTGTTTTTGCTTTCCTGGAATGTAGGTGAAAGCAGAAATCGAATTTTTTTAATTTTTTTATATTTTAAATAAAATCAATCCTTTAAGTACTAAGAGTACAATGTTCAAAAAAAAAGGTATTTTTCCTAGTTTTTGCTATTAATATTCAGAAGTGTTTTAATTGTGCAGGAAAAAAAAATTTCTTCTTCACATTTAATTGTTGTACATATCCATGCTATACAAAAAAAAATTTCTTCTTCACATTTAATTGTTTGACATATCCATGCAATACAATATAGGTCTTTAAACACGTGTTACATTACATCAAATCAAGATATTATCATCATTTCCATTGGAGAACTTTACATTGTTACATCTGTGAAGTACTTTCTCCATAACTCCCACCCACCCACTGTTACTATCCACTCCCCTCCCCTATAATGTCTTGTTTTTCCTACCAGTATATCTTCGGGTCTCTCAATTTCTATCGTAGTGTGAGGACACTTGGTATATTTTGAGCAGGGACATACAGTGTTTGTCTTTCATAGCCTAGGTTACTTCAACATTAAATCTTCTATTTCATCTAGTTTGTATCAAATCATAGGATCTCATTATTTCTTAAGGCTGAGCAATATTCCATAGTGCACATGTGCCACATTGTTAAAATCCAGGTGTCCATTCTTGGGCACTTGGGTTGATTGCATGTCTTAGCTATTGTGAATAATGCCGCAATGAACATGGATGTGCAAATGTCTTTACAACTGAATATTTTTCTGTCCTTTGGGTAAATATCAAGGAAAGGGATTGCTGGGTCAAATAAAAGTTCTATTTGTCGGTTTTTCAGGAGCCTCCATTTTTCCCCTCCATAGTAGCTGTACCAATGTACATTCCAACCAGCAGCATAGGAGGGTTTGCTTTTCTCCACAGCATCACTAGCATTTGTCATTTTTTATTTTCTTCATCAAGCCATTCTTACTAGGGTTAAGTGCTATGTCATGTGGTTTTGATTTGCATTTCTCTTATGGTAAGATATTTTAAAGATTTTTTTTTCATATGCTTTTGGGGAGACAGCAAATCTTGGAGCTTTAGATACTTAAAGATGATGGGGCTTGAACAACTATATCTCTAGATATGCTTTTCTCTGTTGTAGGTCAGGATCGCAGTGAAGCCACTTTGATAAAGAGGTTTAAAGGTGAAGGGGTCCGCTACAAAGCCAAACTGATCGGGATTGATGAAGTGTCTGCAGCTCGGGGAGACAAGTTATGTCAAGATTCCATGATGAAACTCAAGGTGCTGTGCAAACATTTTCTTTTAAATATTTTGGGTTTAATCTGATTGAGGGATAGAAATGATTGTTATCATTATGGCAAATAAATTTGTTTATTGATAAGTTACTTGGTTTACTGATAAATCATCATATTTATTAATTAGTAAGAGATTCAACTATTCAGTATTTATTTATTTATTAGGTTTTTTGCCATAGGACATGTGTCTTTCCTGGAAAGAGAATTTATTTACTTATTAGATTTTTGCCATAGGGCATGTGTCCTCCCTGGAAAGAGAGAAAGAGAAGGAAAGTGAGAATCACCCCCCAAGGGGGTGATGTCCACACTGCAATTCCTCCTCCAGTCTCCTTTCAGGATTTCAGGTACCCATGCACACACACACTCAGCATGATTTTCTAGTCACTGGGTCTGGGGCAGGACCTGCAATAGGCCATGTGGGAGTCCAGCATCTTAACCACTACTTCACCTGCTCGTCCCAGGAAATATTTAATAACCACCCACTGTGTGGAGGTATTTTATTAGACCCAGTCTCATTATTTGTAAGTGTTTTTGTTTGTTTTTAGTTTGCTGTAGGGCACTTGACAGAGAGAGAGAGATACAGAAAGAGAAAGTATGTGCCAGAATAATTTTGAAGCTACTGGGTCTGAGGCTTGTTCCATGAAGTCAGTCATGTGTCATCCAGCCATCTTAAACTCCATGTCACCTGCTGGTCTGAGAGTATATCACGTTTTATGCAATTTATTGTCATTGTATAATACTTGCAAAAATAAAAGTACAAAATTATCAAATCCTCTAGCACATCACAATTTATTCATTTTCACCCCTTTGGTATTTTTTAATATATTTTACATATTTTGCCATATGATAAACATGTTAAGGTAAAAGGTGATTTCATTCATTTTTATAATTTCTTATAAATGTACCTCAAAAACCTTATCATACAGGGAAAATAATATTTTAAAACTAATAGGTAATGAGGTACTGACCATTCTAGTTTCTAATTTTAAATGCTATAAAGAAGCCTTTTCACTGAGAAATCTAAAAAAATAAATAAATTAGAAAATTTTACATATAAAAAATAAGCAAATTCTTTTATAAAATGACCTTAAAAATATACAGTGAACACTATTTGTTCCCAGATTCTGATCTCTATAGGTACTGGGGTTGTTTTGTTTTGTTTTGTTTCACTTTGTTTTTAGTGTGATATAAAATATGAGAAAAGTCACATGGGAAGTCTCTGGGTCCCTGGGTCTACTGTGATAAGCTTGCTGTGGCCAGGGGTGTGCCAAGATTTGAGCTGGGCTGGGGGAAGGATAGTGGCATGAAGAATCTATTGAGGTTGTCTGTCCATCGGTCTATCTCCCTCTCTCTCTCTCTTTTTTTTTTTTTTTTTTTTTAAAATTTTTTTTCCTTAGGGCCTTTGGCC